CGTTGACTTTTTAGCATTTTTCAACAATTTATTGGACCAAAAAAAAATTCTTGTCGTATTATATCCTCCTTTAATTTTTATTTCAATTTTCTAGAAAAATAGAAAATAACTGAAGCTTTAAAGAACTGTAAATAACGTGTTAAAAGAGGTTATATGAATTTAGTCGGAATTAGAATTGAAATTCACTTTGTCCAGATTCGATCGAGTTTGACCGAGTTTATTAGCGTTGGACTGGTATTAAAGCTAAACGTCAAACGTTGTGCTTGAGTTGTTACAAATGGTATCAGAACCTAACACCGGTGTGTCAATGATAACGTTGACCCTAAAAGGGTAGATTGTGATGGAGAAAATAACAAAACATTCGGTTTCGGTTTCATGGGGGAAAGTGGTCAACTATAGGGTTAAAGTTTGACTTGAAAATTCATAAATTTTGGGATTATTAAATTAAAATAAAACACAATGGACGACCTTGGAAGATTCTCTATTCGATCGGGGCGGATGGCGATGTATGTGGACATACAATGGGTCCGATGACACCGCGAATTCTTCACACACACACTCCCTGCATCAGTTATAAAATCCATCCCCCTTCTGGAGCTTACGTCAATGGCGGCAATTTAACGCAAAATTCCACCCATTTCTTCGCCGGAGCTTTCTCTCCTTGAAATCTCTGTTTTAAATGACTAACATCCACCACCACCAAGCTCTCAACATCTCACCTCCGCCGCAGCACCACGGCGGCGACAATGGGGTTTTTGACGACGATGGCCGCCCAAAGCGGACCGGTGAGTCGTGGGGTTAGGATTTTTTGTTTTCAATCTGAGGTTTTGATTTTGATTTTTAAAACAGGGAATGTTTGGACGGCGAGTGCTCATATTATAACGGCGGTTATTGGGTCGGGTGTTTTGTCGTTGGCTTGGGCAATAGCGCAGCTGGGATGGGTGGCCGGACCCACCATGATGGTGGTGTTTTCCGCCGTGACTTATTTCACCGCCAATCTTCTCGCCGTGTGTTACCGCTCCGGCGACTCTGTTAACGGCAAGAGAAACTATACTTACATGGACGCCGTCAGAAACAACCTCGGTAACAACAAAAACCGACAGGACACGAATTTTTAATAATAATGTTTTAATTAATAATCTGTTGTGTTTTTTTTTCAGGTGGGTTCAAGGTGAAATTATGTGGACTGGTTCAATATGGCAATCTTTTTGGAATTGCCATTGGATACACCATAGCCGCATCCATAAGCATGATGTTAATATCATTTTTTTTTAAATTTTGTTCTTAATTTCTTGAGCTGATTGAATTATTTAATGGGTATGAACAGGGCAGTTAAAAGATCCAACTGTTTCCACAAAAGTGGGGGCAAGAATCCTTGTCATATGAACAGTAATCCTTACATGATTTCGTTTGGTGTGGTGGAAATTTTGCTGTCGCAAATTCCAGATTTTGATCAGTTATGGTGGTTATCAACCGTTGCTGCGGTCATGTCTTTTACTTACTCCACGATTGGGCTGGTTCTTGGGGTCATTCAAGTTGCAGGTTGGTTATTATGGTTTGAAACGTGTTGGTTTAGGTCAAATTCATAGCGTATTGATCTGAGTTTGTTGTTGTTTTTGTTGTTGTTGTTCAGTTAATGGGAAAATTAAGGGTAGTCTTACAGGAGTCAACACTGGTACTACTGAAAAGGTTTGGAACAGCTTCCAAGCGCTTGGGGACATTGCTTTTGCTTACTCTTTTTCCATGATCCTCATTGAAATTCAGGTAAAAGAGTGGGAAATTAACCAACTTTTTTTTGGTTCTTAATGGTTATGTGAGATCCCGAGTCGGTTGGAGATGGAGGGAGGAATGAAACATTTAAAAGTGTAAAAATTTCTCAGTTTTGAGAGGAAGCATAGAAGGGGAAGCCGAAAGAGGACAATGTTTACTAACGGTTGGCTTGGGCTGTTATAGATTGTATCAAAACTAGACACTGGACGCTGGGCTCCTAACGAGGTGGATTGTGAGGATGCTGGGCCCGCAAGAGGAGTGAATTGTGAGATCCCACATTAGTTGTGTGTCAGCGATAATGCTGGGCCTACAAGGGGAGTAGATTGTGAGATCCCACCGTAAGCCAGCGAGGATGCTGAGCCCGCAAGAGGAGTGGATTGTGAGATCCCACGTCAGTTTGAGGAGAACAAAATATTCCTTATAAAGGTGTAGAAATCTCTCTCTAGCATATTGGGTTTGAAAGGTTGAGGGGAAGCTTAGAAGGGAAAGCTCAAAGAGGACAATATGTGTGAGTGGTTAGCTTGGACTGTTACAAATGGTATTAGAGCCAGACACTGGACGCTGGGCTCCTAATGGGGTGGATTGTGAGATCTCATATCAGTTGGAGAGGAGAACGAAACATTCCTTATAAAGGTGTAGAAACCTATTCCTAGTAAATGCATTTTAAAATCTTGAAAGGAAGCCCAGAAGAGAAAGCTAAAAAAGAACAACATCTGCGTTTAGACGGTTACAAATAGTATATGAGCCAGACACCGGGTGGTGTGCCAGTGAGGACGCTGGACCCTCAAGGGAGTGGATTGTGAGATCTCACGTCGGTTGGAGAAAGGAACGAAACATTCTTTGTAAAGGGGTAGAAACCTCTTTGTAGTAGACACATTTTAAAACCTCGAGGCAAAGCACATAATTAAAAGTCCAAAAAGGACAATATGTGCTAAGGGTTAAATACGAGCTAGGGGGTAAGCATACGAGCTTGTCTAAGCATGCTCGGGATTTGAACTAATGGGTTTTGTAAGTTGAAGTATTTAGTGTTTCATTTTTATGTAGGACACTATCAGAGCCCCTCCATCAGAAGTCAAGACAATGAAGAAGGCCAGTACTCTAAGTGTAGCAGTGACAACAATTTTCTACATACTCTGTGGCTGTATGGGGTATGCAGCCTTTGGGGACTTAGCTCCAAGCAACCTCCTAACCGGTTTCGGCTTCTACAACCCGTATTGGCTTATCGACATAGCGAATGTAGCCATTGTAGTGCATCTCAGTGGTTCATACCAAGTTATTTGCCAACCCCTCTTCTCGTTCATTGAGAAATCCGTGTCGAACCGATTCCTAGATAGCCAATTCGTCGAAAAACACATCAAGATCCCAATCCCGGGCTTCCGGTCCTTCAAACTCAATCTCTTTAGATTGGTTTGGAGGACGATGTTCGTGATCCTCACCACTTTGATCGCGATGCTCCTTCCATTCTTCAACGACATCGTCGGACTGCTCGGAGCCATGGGGTTTTGGCCTCTCACTGTTTACTTCCCAATTGAAATGTACATTGCTCAAAAGAGGATCCCAAAATGGAGCCCAAGATGGATAACCCTCCAAATTGTAAGCATGATTTGCTTGGTGATCTCCATTGCTGCAGCAGCTGGCTCAGTAGCTGGAATTATTCATGATGCTAAGTCAGTTAAGCCCTTTCACACCAGCTACTAATTCAATACTAATTTTTTTTTAGCTTTTAATCCCTCAAAAGGAAACTAAAGTATTCCTATGGGAAGTTCATCTTTAGTAATGGAATCGTAACTTTTACTCGGTTCTTAATTGATCTAATCTAATCAACATGAGATTTCACAATTGCCTTGCAGTGCGCGAGGCACTGGTTAGAGTAGGGCTAGACCCACTTCATGGAAGACGCGTTTTAAAATCGTCAAGCTAATAACTGGCAAAAGTGGACAATATCTATTCGTAGTGGCCTCGAGCTATTACAAATGATTGTGAGATCTCACATTGATTGAAAAAGGGAACGAAACATTCCTTATAAGTGTGGAAACTTCTCCTTAGTAGACGTGTTATAAAACTGTGAGGCCAACGACGATATGTAACGAGTCAAAACGGACTATATCTACTGGTGGTGGGTTTGGATTGTTATACTTGTTATCCTAGGCATAGAACATATGTGTTGAAATAGTTTAATGACATGCATATGGAAGTTAGTGCACCAAACAACATTGATAATACAACATAGTTTAGGGCACGTGCATAAACCACCGAGCACAATCCAACCAGTCAATGTTGGACTAAGTCAAAGTCACTCCACTCCTTTGATAATTAGAATTCTATTGTGAAAATGAGTTCATCTAATTTGCATAAATAATCTATCACCTTTAATTTAAAACGAGATATAAACGAGATATTAACGATTTCATTAAGATTAAGGGTATTAATGTAATTTTAAAAAGTTCATTGGTATTTTTAAAACAAGATATTAATGAATTTTTTTCTGTTTTATTTTATTATAATTTTTAAGTATTAATGCTGAGTACGTTAATTTATTTTTATTTTTTTTTAAAAAAATATAATATTTAAGATATTTATTTATAATTTAGTTTAAAATTATCTTTTAGAACCATTCTCAAAACCTCAAAGCATTTAAAAGGAAATAAAATAAATAAATAAACAAATAAATAATTACCTGGATTTTTTTCCAACCCTCCTTTAATTTTAATTTAAATTCTGTTGGAAATTTGCTTAGACTTTTTTATATTTAATTTTATTATTATGATGGTAATTGGTTTGGATTCACTCGAGTTGTTTAAATTAATTAATTATTTATTTATTTTTAAATATTTAATTACTATTTGTAATTCAATTTTAATATATATTTTGAAAAATTAATGGGAGAATAAAAATAATTATATATATAAATAATTTTTTTTGAAATATTCAGTTATTACATAATTTTTATTTTTTATTTTAAATTATATAATTTTCATTTCACAATAGGACATGGTAGTGGGCCCCACTGATTGCCACGTGGTGCTCACAAACCACCTATAAATACACCCCCTTCTCCATTTCTCTCCATCCTAACAAAAAATCTCCATTTAAAAAAAAAAAAAAAGATTCTCTGTAAACGGAACCATTTTTTGGATTTCTGCAGCTCTTTGGAGCTCGCGTCAATGGTGGAAGTTTAACGCACAGTGACTTCGGGACACAGAAAGTTACATTTATTACATTCATTACCTTTTAAAATTCCACCCATTTCCTTCCCCGGAGACATTTCTCGTTGAAATCTCTGTTTTTAATGGCTGAAAACCGCCACCAACAAGCTCTAAACATCTCAGCTCCGCCGATGCAGCACGGCGGCGACAGTGGGGTTTTTGACGACGATGGCCGTCCAAAGAGGACAGGTGAGTTTTCGTGTGGGGATTTGTTGTTTTCATAAGTGGATTTTGAGATTTTGATGTTTTGAATAGGGACTGTTTGGACGGCGAGTGCTCATATTATAACGGCGGTTATTGGGTCGGGTGTTTTGTCGTTGGCTTGGGCGATTGCGCAGCTGGGATGGGTGGCTGGACCTGCCATGATGGTGGTGTTTTCGGCGGTGACTTATTTTACTTCCACTTTTCTCGCCGCCGGTTACCGCACCGGCGACCCTGTTAACGGCAAGAGGAACTATACTTATGTGGACGCCGTCAGAAACAACCTCGGTATCTCAGAAAATCAAGAAATTTAATAAGAAAAAAAAAAAAGGGTAAATTTTAATTTTTAATTAATCTCTTATATTTTCTCAGGTGAATTCAAGATGAAATTTTGTGGAGTGGTTCAATATGTCAATCTTTTTGGAGTATCCATTGGATACACAATAGCCGCATCCATAAGCATGATGTTAGTATCATTTTTTAAGATTTTATGTTCTTAATTTCTTGAGCTAATTGCATTATTTCATGGGTTTTTTTTTTTTTTTTTTTTTTTTG